TAAAATCTTATAATTTAAACGCGTAGTTGGAGCAAAATAGTAGAATATGTTTAATATGATATTATTTTGACGTAAGCTAACAACACATAGTAATTAATAAGTCTCCTTTTTATTACAGAAAAATTTAAGAATTCAAAACAAATTTCCAAATTTATTACATTGTACAGCTTGAGTACGATGCTCGCAACAAAAAGGAAAATGCCTGCTGTGATCCGTAAATGACTCCATTCTAAATCAACATGACGTGAAATCTTGTACAATCATTGAAGATGTAGCTGTAGAATTTTTACTTTATCCCATGTTCACAAGGCTTGCAATAAATATCTCTTTCAGGTAAATAAGTAAACATTTTCTAATTTGCAAAGGTATATAAATCGCAAACTTATAACAATAAATATCTCTAAGATGTTCCTTGAGAGGTGTCAAAATAGAATTCTTATCTTTGACAGAATATTAGATTGTCGTAACAATTTTTACGAAAATAATTAAAATAAATTCATAGCTTAACATAAGATTATTAAATATTTTTCCCATCAAAAATTAATAGAAAATAAACATATTTTACATCTAATTATTTTATAAGCAAAAACCTAAAGCAGTCAGAAATATTTTTGATGCAAGTGAAGCAAATTTTGTGACAAATCGTCTGTTAAGAGAAAAGAAAATGTAGAAAAAATGCTTAACATTTTTTAAGGATAACCATTCATTTAGATTCGGAAGATAGAGGCTATTAAATTAATTATTTTATAGCAGTTTTAATTGCTAGAGAAGAATGAATTTCATTACTTAAATCAGTCAAAGCTATGAGAATTTACGCAAAATATACAGCTTTCTGTATCAATAAACGACACGGACATTAAAATAAATTGCTAAGAATTTTTAAATATAATACTAGAGATGACAGAAAAGAGTTAAATGCGTGAAACAAATACCTGGTTTAATGAATATTATCAGTTCTAACTCAACATATCTGTTAACAATCAGGAATGGCGTTTCTTGGAATTGATAATTCAATACTCTAATGACACTGCAACAACTAAACTAGACCGTGTGGTATCTTATTCCTTCTCAACAAACAACGTACCCAAAATTTACAGAAAACGCTTGTCATTGGATATAATTATCCGCAGCTGTTGGAAAGAGAATGGAAAAACAACGTTTGCTATCACAAAATGATTAGTCGGTTCACGAACGGTGGTCTTGTACCAAACACAGTCGAAGACAGTTTCGTTTAAGTTTAAACAGAAAATAGTTGAAGAACAGTTAATTTAGATGGAAACGATAATTAAAAATAGAGATTAATCAATGAATAAGTAAAAAATAATTAATTAAAATCATTCGGAAATTTATCGAATTATCAAGCACATTTAGGCATAGCAATTATTATTTCATATGATATTGTATCCAAGGCAGAAGCTGCAAATTTTTTTTAAATCACTTAAAATATTAAAACAAACGACTACGCATATGGTTTAAGATATACATTCTTGAAATACTAAGAGTGGTATTTACTGAGTTCAAATTAAAATCTGTACCGCTTAACTCCGTGAATTTTGAATATTTCGCACATTAAGAATGATTTAAGTTTTAACTAATTAAAATTGAATCAAATTAAAACGTTTTTAGCAATTTCCAAACTAATACTAATACTGCCAGTAACCATTACCGATCTTACGACTTAATCAGTGCCACGGTGTTTAAATGTTGTTTCTGCAGAGGCTCTCGGTATAAATAACTCGTAGCCCGCAACTCGCATACGACCCTTGACAGGTTTTTAGACAGCTTTAGATTCACTTTGAGAAAATAACAGCAAATATACAGTTACAACATATAATAATAATAAGCATAACTAATCTGAAAAGATTCAGATTTTAAACTACGTCCAAAGGGGCGTTTTTTTAACGTTTTGTTTATTAAATATCATGTTCTACGCACTTAAACCATAAAATTCAATTCAACAGCAATATCGCAAAATAATTTTTAAATGAGCATATATTTAGAATTTCGATACACAGTCTCACGCACTGGAGATATTTTTTTTGTACAGCGTTGCCATTTCTGGTCGCTTTTAAATCGTTTAGTGTTTTCATAGAAAATTCATTGAAGTGTTACAAAACATGAAATCGATAATAAAACAAATTTCAAATTCAAATTTGGGCTTCCACATGCTCATATTGCTATGGAAGATTACGTTATTCAAATTTTGATGGTTCTAGTGGCCGTTGTTTTATCAGAATGCGAGCAACATACAAACATTCATGCAGATTCCTCATTATTTAATATCTTTAAATACAGGGCGATAATATTTGGTGGCAACAATTTGAAAAGTGAAAAAACACTTATCGTGAATCAACGCCAAATGCCAAAACGAAATTACTAGTCCTTCAGGGTAAACTGCCCCTTTGGAGTAAAAATTGGAATTCGACGTAATATCGAGGTAATTATCTAACCTTGTGAGCTAGAAACGATCATGAAATTCAGTAATTCTGAATTCTAAAGCAAAAATTTAGCAGCTATCCGCAAATTTTCCATATGCTTGCCTGTGCGATTCCCTGAAATCTACGTAGTATGTATATATCCCTATGAACTACGGTTAGCAATTATGAAAAGGATTAAATCCCCAATAGGATAGCGTTTAAAATAAATTTATCTGTCTTCTTGTATAAAAATCACTAGTTCCAGCAGCATGTCGCCAGAGATTTGAAAACTGGCAGCAGAAAAAAGACACCAGCTTTCGTGGAAGAAACTATAGGCATCCATCTATTGTAAGTATTTTTTTTTTCTTTCTTCCTTTCAAAGAGTTGCAGTACTATTTACTCACTTTTTATACACAATATTATATTGAAAGAATGGCGTTTCTTGTTGTCTGCACTGTTGCATACTGATGACAATTCGGCCAACTTAAGGTATGAATTTGACAAGCCTGGTGCAGAACATATTCATATGCATTCCCTTTTCTGTTATTATATATAATGATTTATTTCATTTAGTCACATCATTTTCTCTATGCTGTACATTTTTTGAAAACGTAGCTTATTCTTAAGAATTAGATTTGAAATGTTTATTCTTAATAATATCATTATACATAATAATTACTTAATAATGTCATTATACATAATAGTTAATAATATAATAATACATAATAAAATATATGTATTTTCTACTACTGTACAGATTTATTAGACTCTGCCAGAGCACACTAGGGCTATCTGTTTAAACAAAGAAAATGATTTTCTGAAAAAGTAGCAAAGAAAAACTAGTTTCGTGTGTCTAATGTGAATACATTAGACACACGAAACTACCATCAGCCAGAATAAATTTCGTATACGGAATAGGTTCAGATCTTTTCATTAATCTTATTTTTATATACTTTACTTGTGATATGTTACGCATGTCTGTACCTTGAAAAATAAAGTAATTATATATTAAAATTACTAATTGCGAAAGCTGATACAGTATTCTTTTGCTAATTTATTATTAAATTGTAATAGAAACAAGATATGAAAAAATTATCAGACACAGTGATTAGGTTGTAAAACCACATTAAAATTTTCTCTTCGTTTCGTCTAGAAAAAATAATTTATAATTTTTATCAATAATTATAGGTTTGTTTTCTTACGCTGTAGTATGTTTCGAAATGATTTGTTTGGTAAGCAATATAATACCACAATATTTATTGCTATACTAATGTGGCAATACATTTTGGGAGTTGGATTTATCCTGGTTTTTATTACTAGGCGGTTTGTTCGTTACGGTCAGATCTTGAAATTATTTTTACGCCTTCTACACAAATATTTTTCTTGAAATTTGGTACAAATATGTATTTAAAATATTAATTCATCCTAAATATAGACATTTGTTATCCCAAAATTTAATGTAAACATTATTTTTTGCTTCTGAACTTGCTGATGAATATTTTCCCATATCCGTTTTGTAATAATTAAACTAATCACCGCAGACTCTATTAACCTTTCACAATCCCACAAACTGGAATGCTGCCTTGGAAGGATAATGCTCCTTTTGGAGGAAGGGGGGATGATTTTGAAAAATGACCAGTGTACAGCACGTTAACACTGGCAGTTTTTCAGAATCACCCCCCTCCACACACACACACTCACTTTATTTTTAAAAATCAGCAGATTCTTAATAATGATTCATTATTAAATAAACAAATTTACGCTTTCATTGATAACATCCGCACTTGAAAAAAAATGATGGGATCAAGTTAATAAATCAAATCAAAATTGAATAAATTGAATATAATCTTTCACTGATATAATCTTAAGCAGGCTGAATATTCTTATGCCACAGTCTTTACTTCAGGGAAAATTTCCCTGTTTCCCTACTTGGCAGCAATTTTCTTTGTTATTTCCCCTATTCATTAATTAAGAAGTGTAAAATAAAATACCTATCTTAAAAACTGCTTTTTAAATTTCTTAAATGCACTAAAATGTCATAATTCTTTTTAGATGTTTTAACGCAATATTCTGGATTGTATATGACTAAATAAAAAAGCATAGATCTCAAATATAATAACAGCAGTGGGATACTAGTAGAATTTCAAGCAACAAAATAATTGATAGCATAAGAAAGATTCTTGTTTGACACGTTTGATGTAAAATTTTTCATTATTAGCAATAGCATGATATAAATTAAAATCACATAAAATTAAGTATATTATGAAAATTAAAAAAATATTTATGTCAAGCAAGATATTTAATTACTTTTCGAAATACTTTCCCCTTGGTACTGTGGTTTTTCCAAATGTTAGATGCTTTACGTGGAAATAGCTTTCTTTTACCTCCCGTGGAAAGAACACATGTAGTGCTAGTAATAACTAAATAAAAAAATGATAGTATTTACCTATATGCATTTGTTTGTTAAAGCATGAGCCAGCATTTCAATAGAGTTGTTATAAGGCAGATGGGAAACTACTATTAATATTTAATTATATGCCCACAGCGCGCTTAATAAGTGAAGACCTTGGTTTTTCTTACTTCTGCGCTGTTTCGATACATAAAAGTGAGCAGAAATTTCAGGAGAAATCACTCGTTTCGGCAGAATCACAAGTGATACCACGTCTTTGATTTCTTAAGCCGTCGGTAAGTATCTCTTTTTTACTACTAGTTATAAGAATCTCATTACATTAATAATTTATAACTAATATTCTGAGGCTGTGAATAATAACAGATTAATATTCGGAGCACATTTGTTTGGCTTGGAAATCATAATGTGGAAGAAAAATGACTGGGAATAATTAAAGCTGCTAAAGATGATAACCACTAAAAGAAAACGTTGTGTTGATTACTATTTAACTGGGTTATAACACCTAATTAACAAGGCAACGATGAATATTACAATATCGTTTTATAAATAAAAAATAAATTATAAAATTCTAAATTCCATGCTGTGGTTTTTTCGAATACTATTCCAAAGTAAAAAAGAAATATTGTATCCTGAAGTTTAAAAATCAGACATACCAAACTGTTTCCAACATAACAGGGGGACCGGAGAGTAATGGCGTTTCTGCGCATGTCGATATTTGATTGTTGTTTGTCAGGTCATTATGTATCTCGAAGGCGTGCCAAAGTCATTTTAAGGTTCTTGTGATTTGCTCACTTCTATATAATTCAATATTAAACTTTTTTGTTTTGCAATTTCGGGTGAAATGGTCAGCCAAATACCAGAGGGCATATCCGGCATTGTATGCCTTTTGAGTTTCGCAAGGGTAGTACCGCAACAGTTGCTACCAAAAGCATTTGCGATGGTTATTCACGTGCATTCGACGTTCGTAAATGCCAAAGATGGTCTTCCAAGTTCAAATCCCATAATTTTGATCTCTCTGACTCCTATCGATCAGGAAGACCAACAACATTAGACAACGGCATGCTAAGGGCAGAAATAGGAGCGATTCTATGTCAAACAATCGAGAAACTGTCAGACACTCTTAACCAATTTTGGTTGACCATCCAAGAACATTTAAAGCAGATTTGGAAAAATAAGGAGAGCAGATGTTGGGGTCGCCCATAATCTGTCCGAAGAGAACAAAGCCAAACGATTCATCACATGCAACGTACTGCTTTAATGGCATCCCACAGGACCGTTCTTCGATCGTTTAATTACTGGAGACGAAAAACGGGTCTTATTTGATAATCCAAAGCGTAAAAGGCAGTTTTAATAGGGTTACGAAGTGTTTACATCCCAAAAAGATGCTTCTGTGTGTTTGGTGGTGTATTTGCGTAATAGTTCATTTTGAATTGCTTAAATTTGGAAAAACTGCTTATGCGCACCTTTATTGTGAACCAATCTTTCAATCGAACAATATCCGGCGATTGTCAACAGAAAAACCGTTATTCTGCAACACGACAGTGTATGACTGCATGGCCGCACTGTGCAAGACGAACACTGTAAAATATTAATGAATTGGAGTGAGAGGTACTGCCTCACCCACCATACTCGCCCGATACCACACCTTCATATTTCCATTTATTCCGAACTCTACAACATTTTCTTAGTGGCGAAAAATTTGAAAATTTGGATAATGTCCAAAATGGCATCTCGAAATATTTTACTCAAACACCAATTAATTTTTATCGGTCCGTGATTGAAAATCTGTTCACTAGATGGCAAAAGGTTGTTGATTACGAGGATGATTATATTAGTGATTAAAGATAAAAACTTGTTAAAAATGTTTGAATTTAATGTAAGGAAGCGACATTACTTTCAGGTCTCCCTATTATTAACATTATAGAATGACTATTAAGGAATACATAAATGTGCTAATCAATAAATTGTTCCATACTGTAATTAGAATCTGCATATCTAACAGTCATAAAATAAGCACAAATTTCTGATTACGTTTATTAAATTATTAGAAGAGCTCCACACAGACGTGAAAGTGGCTAGTGACCCTAACTGCCATATTGAAGGGCCCGCATTCGAATCCTGAAGAAGGAATGGATGTAATCTGCTCGTCCCTTCGTAGGAGACAACAGTAGCCCACCTATCGGTGCCTCCATAATACAGGGACCAACGCTCCTGGCCGTAGTAGAGGTTAATGCCTATAGACGGCTAGAGACTGCCATTGGAAAAGAAATTATTAGGTTCGAAACGAATAAGTTATAAGTTCGAAAAGAATCAAGAAAATTCAAATGTTTAAATACAAAAGTGTTTTATTGTGCTTCGATTATTAGATATCACAGCAGCTCTAAGAGTATTCCAAAAATAATGAACAGTTTTAAATGAACGGTTTTGAAAGTTTTTAGTAAATCAATTACATATATTTATTTCTCATTAAATCTTGGAGCCCACCAGCGGCCGAGCGGTAAAGTCGCTGAACACTGGTAGTTCGGTCTGAGGTTCGAATCCCGCGAACGGGCTGGCTGCATGGGTGTTTTCGTGGTTTTCCCCATGTGTAACGTGTATACGAGCCAGTTTCCCTTAGAAAGTACTCCACGAAGGCATCCCTCCCCTTAGGCAGATAGCCCTAGTGTGCTTTGTCGTAATTAAATACACCAATACACCATTAAATCTTGAGAATTCGTTGTAACACCTTTTATTCTTTCACATCTTTAAAAAAGATTAAAATAGTGTTTTGCGTTTCGTTATTTAACTACGAAAATAAAGTAATTGACATTTATTTGACTTCACTATAATATCAATTTAATTCAGTTAGAATCATTATCATTTCTAAAACAAAATATTTATTTATTTCTACTCGTATGGGTTTTCTTAAAAAATACTTTTCGCTCATTAGAGAATGTTTTATTTCTTAAAATTGTTAATATCGTGTTTAAACTCATTTCTGTGCTGAGCATATGGATTTTGTTTTTAAATTTAAAAGCAGAAAAGCAGAAAGAATTCCCCATGTACCACGAAGTATCACATGGAGTAGCACATTAATTCAAAAGGCAGTTTTTGTGTTATTATTTGCAACACGAATTAATGCTTTTGCTACCATCCATTTTTCTTTATGCAATCAATTAGGAATTCATGTATGAATTTTTAAGCAAACTTTGCTTCCATGTTTGAGTAATATTTGATAATTAATAATATAAGCTATTAGCTTTTGATATTCTGACAAATTAAGCATATTTGTTCATACAAACTAGATCGAGCCTGATGATCAGATTCATAATTTCAATACATCTGTGCATTCTTTAATGTTAAAACATGAGAAGTAAATGTCAGTTTCCGATCGAATATTTCTTCTAAGAATTCTACTTCACTTTTTCAAAAGAATTAACGAAACATTCAATTGCTTTTCTGGTCAGAAGTACAGATTTTGGTGTTATAGAAATGCATGCATACGATCTTTCATTTAGAAAATCTAAACGAGTTTAGTTTAACCACTTCCTAGTCTTGTTTAGCGTGATCTGTCTCTAAATGTAACTGATGGTTACATCCTTGGTAGCAAATTTGCAAGTTTTGACATATGATGTTCTTTAAAACGGTAGGAAAACTGATTAATTCTTTAACTAAAGAGGTAAAAATTTAATAGACAGCCTTGTGGAACATAATCACCTTAATGTAAAATGTCTGACAGTAAAATGCCTATATTCATTTTGAAAATCTGATCTTGCATATAAAAGTAGACCAAACCAGAAACTGGCTAAGAATACTCTTAAGTTTTAGACATTTTATTGCCTTTGTAGCATAGCCCAGGTTTTAGGTTCTGAAGTACTATCGTTGAGGATTTTGGTATAAAACGCTCTGCTATTTGGATGATAACATTATCAATAGCTGTCAACATCTTGTAAAATTGCACATCGTTCACCATTTCATCGTTGAGTTGAGAGAATTCTGCGATAAGAGCTTCCAGTTAACTCGATATAGCTGAAATTTGATTCCCCCAAAAAAGAAAATGTCTCCAACAACAAATGAGATTGTCAAGTGATTCCAATCAACAGGATCCTTTCTGATCTTAAAGAGCAAAATGCCAACAGAAATGACTATATCGACAACGTTATATCTCCTTGTGTGTTGGTAAAAGTTTATCTTCTTCCTAAACAGGCAGCAAAAACTAAGAGCATGTATTAATTTCTCAGTTTGCTTATCTTGTGAGTGCACATCTTTATTTACCCATGATCGTTGAAATCACTAATAATTACAACAGACAGAGAGGCTTTATAATGTAATTTTTTATCTTTAAATTCAGTAGACGGTAAGCAAAAACAAGTTAACACTCCATCTATAAATTTACTTCTATCGCTATATCTTGGAAGATAGCTCTTAAGAAAACAGATATTTAACAGATGATGTTGAGGAGAATACATAGTTATACCATTACATCAATCATTGTTCTTCCCTTGCAACAAAATAACTGCCCAGCTTTTATGAAACATGGTTTCATAAATGTTTGTTGACCTGTAAAGCATACAAATTCTTAAATATGAAATACATTTCTTTGGTTAAAAAGTTTCAGGTGGAGACAAGAATATTTATGTAAAATAATACTGGTCATTCATGCGATGATTCATCTTTGTTTTTATGAGGATCTCGTTAATTACTGAATCGGTTTCATTTTCCGTATTCTATTTATCAGCAGTATCAGATCTCATGCTTTCAATAGAATTATGACCCTAGCTATGAGACATTTTTAATCATGTTTTATGCACTGCTTTTTTCATTTAATTTCGTACCTATTGCTAAATTTTTTAGAGTTTGAAGAGGATCAGATTTTCTGGATTATTTTGTTTCTTCTGATATTTTTGGCTGGAAAATTTACATAGCCACAATCTTTGTGTGACCATTAATCGTCTGGACGTTTTTGCAGCGGAAGTAAGAATGGAGTGGCTGTATTCTATCAACTAACTTTCTGACTTTTGCATATGGCATTTTATGACTAACATTGAACTACTTTTTTACATTTTACATTTCGGGAATGTTCAGAAGTAAGTAAGATGATCACAAGCTCTGTTAAAGAGGCATAGTGAACCTCCGTTGTCGTGGTCACCCACAAAACAGCTACTTTATGATAAATTGTCTCCTGAACATCAAATTCAGCACTCGCTTTTCGCTGTAACATGCTCAAAAGGGAGGGTCAGTTTTCCAATTCTCATTTTTCTAGAATACTGCTATCATATTTCGTACCTAGAAACATTGATAGCATTTTTGTAGTCAATATCAACTTATGCACTTTGTGTTAGCAGACTTCAACTATCCATTTGGTGGTGCATTAAGATCCACCACAATATTACAATTACTGACAGGTCGACAAGTCTACAAGATATTAGTTGGCGACTTTTTGACTCAATCATATCCGAATTGTATGGTTTCTGCTATTCGGATGTAAAATACTAATATATGCATAATTCAGCACGTCTAACTTCTGTAAATAAGTGATTGTCGCTTCCATGAACTTATAAAACAGACTTACAATGTAAAAATGGTTTTTATAAAGAAATATTTGAAATGATTCCTATGATGGATTTTCGCAAAGGTATCTGAATTGATACGAGCTGTTGGCTTGCGGATTTTTATTTAAATAATCAGTAAGATAACCCGGAAATAATTAGCAAGTTATTGTAAATATTAATAATATCTAGCAAATTTAGTAGCTGTATATAAGCTCACGGAATGCCTAGATATTAGGCAAATATTCCTTAACATAAGACGAATTTTCTAGATTACAAATTTCACTCACAAAAGAAACTTTAAAATGTAATTTACCTAATAATATTTGAACCACAGTCTCTCTGAAATTAGAGTTGACTTAAATCTGGTTGTTGAGGCCACCGTCACAGTGTTATACGAAGTTCTGAAAGCTACGAAAAAAATCAATCCTAAAGCTTGAAAAGTGTTTTTTTCTGGAAATTTCCAGAAAGTCAGCAAGTTGGCAGGAGAGATATATGGTCACTTTACTTAACCTGTTCCGCCAAACTAAGTTAATGGCACTACAGGGTTAGGAAATCATCCTACTCATTGCTAGCAATCTGACGGTTAGGCCGCCTTTCTGCATTTTACATTAATCTGTAGTTTCTTGGATATAATTATTTTCATTCACTTGCTTCATTATCTCTAAGATGAAAATGAGCGACGCTTTCACCGGAAATCGAACCACGGACCTCTGGAATACCGGTACAGCGTACAGAACCACTACACCACGAAGGCGCGCTAGGAAAGTGGGAGAAATACCTTATATAGTCCCCTTTTTAAAAGGCGACTGAGGTTTTCAGGGGACCCAATCGCCAATTCCTGGGTGTGGAGAAATCTCATCGAACACCCTTTTAGTTTTGGCGCCACTGTAGAGACATTAGGATTTTGTTTTGAAGGCAGAAGAGTTAAAAAGTGAGCGACGCTTTCACCGGGAATCGAACCATGGACCTCTGGAATACCGGCCCAGCGTGCAGAACCACTACACCACGGAGGAAAGTGGGAGAAATACCTTATAAGTTTATCAATTTAAATATTGTTGGGTTTTGATTCATGAGCTCTTCAGTTCTATAAAAGAAATAAACATTTATATACAAAAAAGAGACCACAAATTTAATTACACAAAAATAAATCCTAAAGTTACCTGAAATGCAATAAATAAAAAGATAACTAAATGAGACAATACGCACTATTACAAACACGGACAAAACAATAATGCAACAAAATAATTTAAATATTCATAAAAATTTATAACAGTATGGTCTGGTTGAATTAAACTAGCACGGCTATGTTGCGACGATGCAACAATTTGCTGAACTAGAGAAACACGAATATGTTACATATCAGAACGTAAAACGAGAATGACATCAGAAAAGCACCAAAAGAATACTTTACATCTGAGTTCGTATCTATCATCACATGAGTCCTTTCACATTGGATCTCTGTTAAGCCAAACCCACCACAATTACATAAAACCGCATGCTGTTTGCTAAGCTCTATCCAACATCTGCATTTATTCCTAAAATTGTTCGAGGACTCTAATTTTCTACCTAACAAATCTTAAATTAATTATTTTATTTTCAGCTCTTTTATCGTGGAAATTAATTCATTACAGAATAATAAAATATACTTATTTCAAAGCAGTGTGAATAATGTTAATGCATTTTTATCTTTCAATTGCAGAGCCATAATGAAGTCCATGTACATCCTACTCATTTTCGCACTGCTTGTCGTAGTTTTCGGTAAGTTTTACTTATTTCCGTCTAATTCCAAACTCTTTATAGAAATCATAATTACCGTATGAGATGCGAAACAGTGTATTTGTTGTGGATTCTGCTTTTCAAATATTTTAAAGTTTTTAATCGTTTTTAAGTTTTTGTTTGTCAATTTTTAAAGCAAAGTACGTAAGAGTTATCTGTCTAAAGTGAGTGTTGCAATCGACGAGGATTTTCTAAGGGAAATTTGATAATGTATTCAGGTTATATTCTGTTATTTTACTTTATTTTCCAGATGCTGCATCAGAGGTTGTCTAAAGAAATTCAAATATGGAGTGCTTGAAGCGTTTAGAATTTCATATACAATTTATTGCACATAAAATTCCCATTAGCGCAAAACTGATTAATCGGAAGGGAATTTTCCGCTAATGGGAATTCCCTGCAATATTCCTAAGTATCCTCATTTTTGCATTCACATCCATGATAAAAACAAATTATATTCTTGTTACGATACGATTTCAGGGAGTTTAATTAATTATGTAATTTGCTTTGAAAGACAAAACTCCTATATTTAAATCCATAATGTTACATTATATAAATCATTTTGCAATATATCACATTTGAAGTTATTTCTATTGCCATACGAAAGAAAATGAAAATGTGTGTTTAATATAGCAGGAAAAGTCATGAGTATAGGGTTATTTATATGTATGCTAATGCCTTCCAACTTGAGGTATTAACGAGCCTAAGCTTGAACTGGACACTATGACGCTTGTAAACAATAGTCAAGATGTTCACCTACTTGAAAACTGGCATGAAAAAGCGGATGATTTCTTTGTAATAAAGAAGGAAATGAAAAACGGCAATTTTTTTCTCTCTAAGATGCATACGTTCGCTTAGTAGTTAAGTCCTGTCATATAACAGAATAAACCTGCAAAAATTTTCATCGAGAGTCCTGTTAATCTAAGGAAGAAATGCTTGCATTTTATGAATTTTATTTCAAATGCAATTTGAAAAACATAGATGTATATCCGTGGTAAGAAGACGAATTTATTGCGAAACAGAATAACAAATCTAACATGTTTTGAAGAAGCAGCATGCCAATTACATGGAATATGTGACTAAATAGTGAGTCTTTAATTCTTAAATCTGGTTTTTGGAATACGTGATACAGTTGTCAGTTTTAATGACTGTTTTTCAGCGTCTTTATTTCACCATTTGTCCAGCGAAATAAATCAACCATTAGTAAAATACTTATCCTGCATTTGCTTTATTTCGGCATGTTAAGAATAAGAATTCAACGCATTTGAAGGGTCTAGGATACCTGAATTTACGAATTACCAACTGGAAATCTTTCAGTGACCAATATAATGCAACATAGGACAAATGTTACTAGATACCTAGTTTCATTTTCCTCTTTAAAAATTAAAGCTCTATCAGATAATTTAATAACAGCCACATCTCGACCTCATCAAATATTTCTTTGGGGTATATTTTTCTATCATATTTTAAAATTCGTTCTGGTTAATTAAATTCGTTCTTCTTTATTTATGCGCCAATTATACAGCGTTGAAAGTTCCAACTTAGATGTATTCAGTTCCAGGCAAGAAAAAATAGTGAATAGCTAAATCTGGTCATTGCTTAGGAATAATCCTAGCCAATCTTCGATATCATAGCAAAACAGTGAAACATTTGGGATTTCTTTTAGTGCATCTTGTACAGTATCATTTTGTTTTGTAACATACATCAAGAATCAAGCTCAACGATTTATCACTATGTCTCGGTTACAAACTGAAACGTACGGTGTCCGCTGAAAACATCGCGGAGAAAACAATGCAAGGTGAAAACGTCCTGGTACAAAACATCGTGGGAGAAAAGGAAGCAAAGAGAAAACATCGCAGTTCTAAAACATCGTGGTACAAAATATCGTTATCGAAAATAAAGTGGTTCAAAAGCTTCGAAAACATCGTCCTCGAATATATCGTGGTAAACAATAAAGCATCTACAAATCATCGCATGACGATAGCATTGCATATATGCTTTTTTCAGGTTTTCAAAGCTGTAAATGCATTATCGCACAATGATGTGGGAGCGCAAGAAAGAAAGAGGGATATTTTTACTTTTATATTTCATATTTTTGAATGAACCAATAAGTGTTTGCTGAAAAAGTAAGAAGGAAACTTAAGTATTTAAAAATTGAAAATGAGTAGAAAATGAATGCAACTTATAGCGCTTAATAGAATTTTAAATTTACATAGTTAATTAACAAAAGTCATTAATAAATGAATCATTTTTTATAAAGTTTTACTCATAATTTTTCATGAAAAATGCAGCTTAAAATTGTTTAGAAAAATGAAAATAAATAACTGCATGAAGTTACCTCTAAAAAATTGCTTAGTTAATTATCAAATTACTTTCTTTGATGTTTGTTAATCTGATATTGTTTTGATGAAAATTATATCTTGTTTTGTTTCCGATTATTCTTAAAATGTCATTAACGTTTCTTGCGCTTATAAATCTTTATGCGAAATTGCATTTACAGCTCTTAAAACCTGAAAAACGCATGTGTGCGATGTTATCGTCATGCGATGATTTGTAGATGATTTCGATATTTTCAACGCTGATGTTTCTAAACTGCGAGGCATATGAACCGCTTTATTTTCGACGACGATATTTTGCACCACGACGTTTTAGAACTGCGATGTTTTCTCTTTGCCTTCTTTTCTCCCACGATCTTTTGTACTACGACGTTTTCGCCTTGCGTTGTTTTCTCCGCCACGTTTCCGTCCGCGATGTTTTTGCAGCCATGTTTTCGGCTGCAACCAAACGTACTAAGGGTGTAAAAGATCCTTCTAACAAGAACTCATATATGTTGAACATAAAGCCCTCTGTTGTTTACAAAACCAGTTAGCATTATGGCGTGAAATCAAAAAGTAGAATTTTAAATTAAAACTAAATCTTAGTTAGGGAAAGACTGAGCAGAGATAACTAAAAGCGCAAGTTTGCTTTAACCTACACCGGCATGACAGCATAATCTCCACGAATAAAGAAACGCTGCAGAAAGTAATGCTACTGCAAAATATCAGCTAGTAGGTGGCCTTCAGCAGGCAGAACACGCTGTGATTGAAACAATCTCTAACCTTCACTTAAATAAACGAGCTAAAATTTGCATTCTGGCAGGAAACCGGAAAGGGAGACGTGACTGTAAAGGTTCATGCCATAAAATAACTAGTTAATAAGCATATATACCTTATCTTTTAAATTAAAAGATCGCTACAATTAGCGGTCAATTAGGAGCATTGACTGTATTTTATTTGAACAAATTAATAAGAAAATATTCCCAAAGCCCTAAAAACGAACAGTGATTTTTACTATTAATTTTAGGTGTGTCTAGCGTGGAAGCTTGTTACGGCTGCCCGTTGCTCCCGTTCATTTGTAACAACTACTGCAAATCAAAAGGTAACAGCTATGGAAAATGTCAAAGCACGATCAACTGGACATGCGTCTGTTACATCTAATTTGCTACCGCTACAGCTGTGTTACGAACATCGACAAGATCAAAATTAAATAATATGATGTTTGAATTTAAACGCTTATATACCTGTATATGTAACAATTAAGCATTTTGTTGTAGAAAAATAATAAACTGTTTTGAATTTTGAATCACGTTTTTGTCATTGAGTTTGAAATAAGACCGTACCTTTTATAACACTAAAAAGTCAATTATTTCTGAAATAAATAGAACTGGAATAAACTTCGAAAGTCTATGAAGTAATTCATTGTTAAATGGTAGCATGCAATAACGCCCTATTTAGTTGTGGGAAATCTAACTACACTAATTCTTGTCCGTAAAGATAGTCAGAAGAAGTGTCACCTCATCTTAATCTTCCAGAAAAGTAATATTTGAACACAAAGGAAGGTATAAAGAAAACATTTCTCTTATTTCTTCCGTTTAGCATTATATACAGCCTATCCACTAACTGCTGCTCAAGTCTCCGTTAGTTGAATATTAACAGAAACAAATTTAAAGTAAAATTTAAGTGTTGAAACATGTGGTTTGCAAGACAAAGCTCGTCTACAACTTCTCCTTCAAGCCCTAAAATTAGAAGAGCAAGCATTTAGAAATGTTTTTGGTATATGTTTTTACGGCATAGCCTCAAGGGCTATCGGCCTAAGGGAAGGGATGCCTTAGGGCCTAAGGGAAGGGATGGAGGAAGTTCTAAGGAAAACTGGCTCATATACACGTCACACATGTGGAAAATCACGAAACCGCCCATGCAGCCAGCCTGTTCGCGGGTTAAAAAATGGTTAAAAAAGCTAAAGCCGAATTCAAGTAAATTCAGAAGACACCAGTTGTTACGTTGTTTTTCTTCTGACACCAGTTGTTACGTTATTTTCTTCCTTCACGTTCGTACGGGGTTCGTAGATTTGGAGTGAATAACGACGACACTGAATGAAATATCAAAACACACTTTATTGGCCGGTATTAACCTTTTACACGCCAATGTTCCATAAATGGAACATCGAATTTGAAATTTTATAAAAAACACAATTTTATTAATATTGCTTTGTATAAATTATTACATGGAGAGTAAATATGGATTGATGTTTTAGTAGCAATATAATTATTCTAAAAGAAAAATTATCTTGATAAAAAAATTCATTATTTCACCTTTTTCCTTCTTTTCTAAGAGCAAAATTCAGAAATTCATATAAAATTAAAAATTCAACAAATGTTTTTAAAACTCAATGAGGATATTTAAAAAGGATCATTTTATGCATAGACAGTAAGTTATCATAGAAAGATGATTATTATTTTCTACTTTGAGGTAAGAAATGTGGATGTTCCAGAAAGGGAACATTGGCGTGTAAAGGTATATTTTTTTAATATGATGAAATTACTTTGATTGCCGTGAATAGAGGCATGGAGAATGATTTTCCAAATCTGAAAAGTTCTAGTAAGTGTGGAAAACAGATGTTTATGACCGTTAATCTGTTTTCGACTCCTGTATATTCCCCTCCTCTCCTTTCACACATTCCCATAAGGGTTTTGAAGTGAGTTACTCACAGCTGCTAGAGAAAAGCACGTAACGTTTCTTGATAGGTTAGATGCTAGAGGTTGTTTATGACTCAGTGAAAAAGGCGTATATTTTGGAGTGTGGATTTCATTATTTTCCCATTGTTTGCAATTTTTTTTTTCAGTTTATGAAGATACGCTAGGCAGATAAGATGGGTCATTCAAAACCATTTCAGTCTATTGAAGAAGCATTGGAATATTTTTATGCATTATCAGATGATGAAGAGTGTATTGATATTTGTCAACTGCCTCCAAAAGAAACTGGGTGTTTGACAGATGAGGAAAGATGTAAATGAAGATATTTTTGAGCCTGTTCTGCCAGCGGATGTATGTGGAAAAATCGAAATTTCTAATAAAATAGATGATGCTGAAATATCTCAAGAAATTTCATTTGATCCTCAAGAACCTTCATCTTCAAAGGGAAGGAAGAATTTGAAGCCAAAACTAAATGCGAAAGAGAAAAACATTCATCATCCATGGGAGGAAATTTTTAATTTTAACAAAATTCTAAAAACTGGCAGCATTGAAAATATTTGCGAAGTGTTTCCTGAACTAGTTACTTTATCCCAGTTGAAATTTTTCACAAATTCCTAACTAGAGAATATTTGCCGCATTTAGCAAATATAACAGGTCTTTACGCAATGCAGTAAGTAGAAGTTTTAGCAGTAGATGAAAACGATATTGGACAGTTTTTTGGATTACTGTTTGGAGTACCCGGCGAAGATTTATACTGGAGCACTCAAGAAGATTTATCTGTCCCAGTAGTTTCTTCTGCAATGCCAAGAAATAGATTTTGAAAACTGAAAAAATATTTTCATATTATTAATAATACGAAGTTGGCATTAGGAGATAAAACAGGAAAAGTTTCTCCTTTTTATGAAGAACTGGAAAAAAACTTTCAACAGTTCGGCATCTTCCATTCCTGCAGTGTGAATTTTTCTATGGAGATTATTTGTTACTTGTTTCTGCAGCTCTTTTCTTTGTTTCAGTATAAACTGCTAACAATTAATGTAGAATTCGTTTATAAATTCTTTCTTATCAACTATATAATTTTTGCTTTAATTTATTACGAAAGTTTTCTTCTGTGGAAGCTTCATATGTTCTAAGAAATGTTGGTGAAGTAGCTTTGCAGTTATAAAGGTGTAGGCTCTCTATTTTTCTGCTTAATCTATGTTACTTCCGAATAACGTTGAAAAATTCACTTGCTAATGCTGAAAAAGTGCAGACAAAAATGAAACTTCGAATTAGAATGTCGATAATTATGTGTTACAAAACTCATGTAAAAAAACCAACTGTTTCCCGCCAATGTTCCTTTTATGGAACATGTTATAAATCATTAAAGCATTTTTTTAATTGTTTTTTTCTTTTTTCATAATTCTTATGTTTGAGTTTTAAATCAATTTTTCACACACACACACACACACACACACAAAAAAAAAAAAAAAAAAAAAAAAAAAAAAAAAAAAAAGTTTATTTTACTTTCGCATCATAGTTTGGCGTGTAAAAGGTTAATCAGGACAGCTCCAAAATCTCGATTACAGTCGTCGAACTGTTATAAACACGCTGACACGATCAGCGACACAGCTTTCAGGTTATCAAGCTATCACGGTGGAGATAGGTTCACCGCAAAGCACCAGAATACATCTCCCGACTCTGCTTGGTGGTTCTCGAAACTTCACGTACTCTCGAGACTCTCCAAGCTACAACTCGCAATGCACTCGACGACACACGAGCACAGCTCCCGACTCTTCGGTTCAGTCGTTCCCGGAGCTCAACACGCTCTCTCGACGATGCACTAACCGCGATACACTAACAGACTGCTTCGGTGCACTCGACGACCCACGCGGCACTCGCTGCCTGGCTGTCAACTCGATCGAATCCGCAAGGATTGACTCGCTAGACGAGACACCAACTCGATACTAACTATCTCGCACTCTTTGCGAGGCACACTAACTGATTGCGGACCAGCAGGGTTTATATAGCTTTCGGCTTGTGTTCGAGAACATTCTGGGGTAAACCGGTAAGAATTCGTTCCAGAAGGTTCTCCATCCGTCCATGGTATATCGCCAATTTTGGTCGCCAAATGGGCGATTTCTCGTCAAATGTGGTAACCCTAAACCTGCTTTGCGAGGAAGCTATCTTACCGCGCCTGGACTTTTCGTAACAGTACATTCAATTAAGGAAATTCAGAAGATTGGATCTATATTTATATTTCAAATACATTGCTAAAATTCTAATACATGTTTAAAATAGGTTAGTAATTTTTCTTCACTTTCATTGTTTTATTGTTTAGTATTTAACTAACATATTTTATGAATTATTTAGCATATCTTAATTAGCTCAACTTCTTATTTAATTTTTTATAATATATTACTTCATTGTTTTTAATCGTTCATTTTAGTTTAACAATTTAAATTTAAATCTTTGGAAGTTGCTATTCTGAGAATTATAAATAATATTTCTGCAAAAATATAATTTGCATTCATTTGCGATAAACATTTTAAATTATATTTACTTATAATATAAATTAAAATCTTATAATTATGATTTTAAATATATTAGATAGCTCGCTCTCTATCTATGCATATTTCCTTCGCACTTAAGCTAGATTTTTCACCTTGCGAGCAGAAAGACATAACAAGTGCAAAACAAGACATCTGCCTAATTTATATACCTATCATATATATAATAATATACACACTTAACCTTGAAAACAAGAGAAATGTCAACACCTGCATAAGATTTCGAGAAATCACTCCAGGTGATCCACGCTGAGCATGTTTATGTTGAAACAGTGCACTGACGACATCCATCTTGAATACACATCACCAATTTTAGGTTCACGTACCCGTTGCTGTGTTCTCACTATCAATGGAAGTCATACATGCTAAGCAAGGAATTCATAATTGCTATTTTTAGAAAAATAAAAAATAAATAAAATTTGACTTTTCCCAATTTTGGAAAATGTCATGCCTTTTAGGTTCAAGACACTGTTGTTGAGTTCCCACTACCAATTCTTCTGATTAAAATCCTAGATGGTGCCGTGTTCGTTTACACTTTGCAATAGTGCAGAACATTTAAAGCATAATTTAAGTAAGCGCTGTATAATTATTTTGCAACTATTTCGAAAAAAATCGAAATTGGCTGGTTATTTTTCGAAAGTTGATTACCGGAATAAAAGAAAACAAAACAAATGGCTGAAGGATAACAACGCAAAACATTTCAGTCAATCGAATAGAATGTAATTCATAACTGGTTATCAAGGAAATGCTTCCAGGCAATTTTGTCAGCTTTTCGTCCATTGATTCAATAATCGATACAGAGCACACTGTGTATTTCGACAGAGTTTTTAAACGATCTTGAGCCCCTAAAAATTCTACCACACAATATTATCTTAAATAAAAGACACCATTTTAGTACGTCACATCGACCAACCAAAGGTCTGGAACAAAACAAAGTTCACAATAAAGAGACTACTGACGCCGAACGTAGGAATGCCGCAGGTGAAAAAATGTTTTCATGCCTATCATCGATCGAATATACAGAGATTCAAATATACCTTTCAAATTTAAGTGACTGCAGTTTT